CTTATGGCATAAAGTGAGGTTTGCTTTGCTCCTGCCACTCATTGGTCTGATCTGGAAAGGCTGTGCTTCGGCATCCATACAGGAGGATCTCTTGGCGCTGGGAACTGAATTGTTACTAACAGCGGAAAAAGAGGCTTTAAAAATAATCAGGTGCCAGCTAGATAAGCAAAAAAGTTTATATATTTAAACCATAGTGGAAAAATTTAAGCAAAATCAATTGTCTTTTAAAAATCCCAATGGCCTATTATATTTTAATCTAATATTTTTAAATTGACAACCTTGAAACACGGAAGTTTGCAATTGAGTGCAGTTCAGCCTGTCAACATTTAGAACATGTTTCCTTCATGCATGTGTAATGTGCATGGAGCATATATGTGAATGTGCATGTACATTCTTGTTTTGGAAGCTTCATTTCAAGACAGATTAGCATGAAGGTATTAATTTATTTTTAATTTATTTTTATTGATTTCAGGGAGGAAGGGAGAGGGAGAGAGAGATAGAAACATCAATGATGAGAGAGAATCATTGATTGGCTGCCTCCTGCACACCCCCTACTGGGGACCAAGCCTGCAACCTGGGCATGTGCCCTTGACCGGAATTGAACCCAGGACTTTTCAGTCCGCAGGCCAATGCTCTATCCACTGAGCCAAACTGGCTAGGGCAAGATGTTAATTTATAAACCACAATATTAGGGGCAATTATTCCCACTATGACAGAGCTGCTTTTGATTTTGAAACCAAGTAGGAAGCTCCCTGAGTATATTTAAAGGATGTGTTAAGATGTTTTGATGCACATTTACCTTCCAGTGAGTTACACCCAGCAAATAATAGTTACAATTAAAATTATTAGTTTGTCCTTTTATGTCATTACATTATAATTTATTTATTTTAAGTTTTACAAATTATACTAACATAATTATCCACTAACCTCTAGAAAAGTAATGTAATTAGTTTCACAAATCCACACACTGTGACTAATTTTCAGTTTTCTCTTCATTCTTTTTTATTATTATTTTTTATTATTTCATAGAGGATGAGAGAGATAGAAACATCAATGATGAGATAGAATCATTGATTGGCTGCCGCCTGCATGCCCCCTACTAGAGGGATCGAACCCGCACCCCCGGCATGTGCCCTTGGCCGGAATCGAACCTGGGACCCATCAGTTTGCAGGCCGACACTCGATCCACTGAGCCAAACCGGGTTGGGCTCTCTTCATTCTTTTTTTGGTGCAGAAGCAGATGAGTTTTTCTTCAATAGTTCAAATTATGGTTTCTAGTAGCTGTAATTTGACACTATACCTCCCCAAACACTGTATTATCTGAGCAAAAACCTTATGGAAGAAAGCCCCTATTTCATCTAAAATGAAATCCTGATTTCTTGATAGTACTCACAGGAGTGTCACCTGCCACCTGCCATCCCCATCTCGTCCCCCACTCTCCAGCCACACCTCCTCTGGCCTGGGGGACTGTGCACTTTCCCACGCCAAGGCTTTGAAAATGTGGGTTCCTCAGTTTGAAACCCTCTTGCCCATCTCCTTGCATGCCTGTTTTCTTCTCACTTTTAATGGCTCCTCACCTCCCCGAAATAAATAACAAGTGCTGTCAAGGATGTAGAGAAAAGGGAATCCTCATGCACTGTTGGTGGCAATGCAGATTGGTGCAGCCACTGTGGCATACATTATGGAGGAGCCTCAAAAAATTAAAAATAGAACTGCCTATGACCCAGCGATTTTACTTATGGGAATATACCTGAAGAAACCCAAAACAGTAATTCAAAAGAATATATGCCCCCTATGTTCATTGCAGCATTATTTACAATAGCCAAAATATGGAAGCAGCCAGGTGCCCATCAGTATATGCATGGATACAGAAGCTGTGGTACATCTATACAAAGGAATATTACTCAGATATTTTAAAAAATGAAATATTACCATTTGCAACAACATGGATGGGTCTAGACAGTATTATGTTAAGTGAAATAAATCAGTCAGAGAAGGACAAATACTATATGATTTCACTTATATGTGGAATCTAAAGAACAATATAAACAAAACAAAAATGGACTCAGATACAGAGAAAAGTCTGATGGTTGCCAGAGGGGAAGGGGGCTGGGTGAAAAAGGTGAAGGGATTAAGAAGTACAAATTGGTGGTTACAATATAGTCATGAGGATGTAAAGTACAGCATAGGGAATATAGTCAATAATATTGTAATAACTATGTATGGTGACATTATGTACTGGAAATTTCAGAGAAACATTTTGTAAAGTATATAATTATCTAACCACTATACTGTACACCTGAAACTAATACAAAATAATTTTGAATGTAAATGGTTTTTAAAAATAAAATTTTAAAAATGTTCTTTGTGGTAGCATAAAAGGACCGAGAGAGTATTATGCTAAGCTAAATAAGTTAGTCAGAGAAAGACAGATATCACATGATCTCACTTATATGTGGAATTTAATGAACAAAATAAACTGATAAACAAAATAGGTCCAGAGGCATGGAGGCATGAAATGGACTGGCAGATCCCCGAGGGAGGGGGGTGGGGAAGACAGAAAGAGATTGACCATAGAACATATATGCATATATGCATAGCTCATGGACACAGGCAATAGTGTGGTGAAGGCCTGGGTGGGGCGGGGGCTGGGTGGAGGGAGGCAGAGTGGTGGGGAATGGGAAACATCTTTTAATAGTGTCAACACAAAAAAAATAACTAATTAAAAATGTTGCCTCCCCAGAGTGGCCTGCCCTTGCCATCCATCTAAAGTAGAGCTCTAACAGCATGGATGAATCTGGAGAGTGTTATGCCAAGCGAAATAAGCCAAGCAGAGAAAGATAAATACCAAATGACCTCACTCATATGTGGAATCTAATGAACAAAATAAACTGATGAACAAAATAGATCCAGAGACATGGAGGCATGGAACAGACTGAGGAATCTCAGAGGGAAGGCAGGGGTTGGGGGTTGGGGGAAGTGATTAACCAGGGAACTTATATGCATACTAGAGGCCCAGTGCATGAAATTCATGCACAGGGGCGTGTTCTTCAGCCCAGCCTGCCCCTGCCAGCCTGATCACCCCCAACTGCCTTCCCCTGCTGGCCCAGTCACCCCTAACTGCCCTCCCCTGCTGGCCTGATCACCTACAACTGCCCTTTTCTCCCAGCCATCTTGTGGCTGTGGGCACCACCATCTTTGAGGGCGTGGCAGTCAATTAGCATATTCCCTCCTTATTGGCTGTGGGCACCACCATCTTTGAGGGCGGGGCAGTCAATTAGCATATTCCCTCCTTTTTAGCTGTGGGTACTGCCATCTTTGAGGGCGGGGCAGTCAATTAGCATATTCCCTCCTTATAAGCTGTGGGCGCCACCATCTTTGGGACAGCGTGAGGGTAAAATAACATATTCCCTCTTTATTAGATAGGATTATGTTTTGATTGGCTGAATGGCTAACTAAACACTTAGTATATTAGGCTTTTATTATATAGGATTATGAAGACATGGGTGAATGAATACAGATGTCAGGCAGATGAGAGTGTGTGTGGAATCCTGAGGAATTCCCAAAGCCTATACTTAAACCCTTAGGTCAGTGGTCGGCAAACAGCTGCTTGTGAGCCCCTTGAGTGTGGCTCTTCCACAAAATACCACATGCAGGTGCACATGTACAGTGCCATTGAAACTTCGTGGCCCATGCACAGAAGTCGGTATTTTGTGTAAGAGCCACACGCAAGGGGCTAAAGAGCCCCATGTGGCTCGCGAACCACAGTTTACCGACCACTGCCTTAGGTCATCACGGTGTGGGTGGACTTGTGCAAGGTGTTATGACCATTTGTGATGAAGTGGTAGGGATGCCGCCCGGCAAGGCCCGCACACCAGGACCTCACAGGAGAGTGGAGAAGGCACAGTGGCATTCAGCTTTGTTAGTAGTTTAGAGGGCTCTGTGGGAGGCACAGAGAAACAACTGAGGTGAGATGTTAAGCATGGTCAGGTGGGAAGGAGGGGGTGAGGACAGATGGGAGGAGGAATTCCCACAGGCCTGGAACTCACTGAAGGATTTAAAGAAGGTGGGGATACTCAAACATGCATTTTAGGAAAACCATTTTGGTTGCAAGGAGACAGCAGACTAGGTGGAAGTGAAGCTACAAACAGGGAGCCCTGTGTGTCTGTCAGCTCCCTCCCCACGCTACGGGGAAGCTCATTGTGGGGGAGAAGAACTCAATATACCAAAGCCCAAAGCCCAGATTCTCTGGGAGGGTGTTCATTAGGAGCCATGAATGTGGCCAAAGTTAGAAATCACTCCCAATCCAGCCACTCTGGCCCAGTGACTGGCCAGAAAAAGAAAAAAAAGATTTTATATGCATTCACTAACTATAATTTATACATGTAATCTGTACCTTGGAAGTCCAGGTCTGAGCAACATTGAGTGATCTGAGAGAAAGTTCAGCCAGGGGCCCCACCGAGCATTAATTAGCAGAGCGTTGATGTGCCAGGGAGTCATGAACTGTAAGGACAACAGAGTCAAAAGAGAGCAGAGCTTGAGTCTGGTTTTTTTTTTTTTGTAAATCATTTCCCCACCCCCTAGGACACACTGTGTGTCTGTTGGCCCCCCTGGAAAGGACCCATGGAGCCCTCTCCATCAGCACCAGCATGAGGCTGGGAAAGCGACACCCAAGACAGGAAGATAAGTCCTTCAGTGACTCGTAGGCACATGGAGATGCACTAAAAAGTCTGTAGTAGGCATATCACTGTTGTATTGCATGAGAACCAATCTCATAACAAAAAAATAAAACAAAACAAAACATTATTATTACCAGAAGGAAAACAGCTCCTAAGTAAAAATAAAAAAAATAAAAAATTCTTATGCCATTACCAAGAGGGGTAGCTATTTTCTGTGAACAACTGAAAATGTCAGATATGAATTTCATACTTGACTCTTTGATGGGCTCTGTGACGGACATGTGACAATTCCTGGAAAAGATGAGAGATGTCATATTCAATGTTTCTGTTTTTTGTTTAATTTTGAATTCCAAGAGAAATGCAATAGAAGGAGATTGAAAATCTGGTTACATATTGGAACTTAATGAACAAGATTAATCTATAACTAAATCTGCTCATAAGAGATTTAATTATTTTGGAAAAGTTTATTATTCTCACAACAGCCAGGATCTACACTTAGGTAGAGGTACATCATTGATTTTCAGAAAACTTCAGAAGATTGTTCCTGCATGTGCTGGGCGTCCATGATGCTTTATTTAAAACTTGAAAATCTTCCTGGCTTCTTCTAGTGCTTTCGCATCTATGGGAGGCTTCCTCTGACTGCCAGGCTGCAGAAACTTCTTCACAGGAGGGAGGTTGCTGATCCTGGTTTTCAGAGCCTGCAATGCACAAAGCACAGCCTCAGATGGAGACACAACACCATCCATCATTACACAGGCCGGGGAATCTGAGGACAGACCAACGGAGTCCCCTCCATCAGCACCAGTAGGGGGCTGGGAAACAGACACCCAGCAAGAAAGGAAGATAGGGGGAAGAAAACATAGTTCATTAACACTTCCCCTAGAGACACGGTTAGGACTTGATTCAGTTCACAGTCTTCCGTGTCTTCCTCCCCACATGGAAATCCTGTGTATTCTCACTCCAGTGCAGACAAGGAAGACTAATGTGACTGTCAGAGCAACTCAGGTAAAGGCTCCAAACTGGAGAAATAAATATGTGGGACAACTGGGCTGGAACTGAAGATAGCAAATATAGGTCAACCATGTGGACAGTCAAAAGCAATCTTCCCTGTGAGAGAGAGACAGAAAGAGAAAAGGGACAGTCGGGAGGGAAGCACAGTGTTTGAGAGAAGGAGCAGGAGCTGAGGACAGAGACACTGAGTCCTGGGTTCTTCTCATTGTGAAAGACAAACTGTTCTCTTTGGGGTGGTGTCTGCCTCCAATTTCTTTGGCAGAACAAGATTCATTTCCTGCCTCAGACAGGGACTAAAGCAAATTTTGGAGACCTGGGGGCAGCGGAGCCTGAAAAATTATGTGATCATAACATGGACAGTCCAAGAGCCCAGATATTAGATTCCAAGATGGGGGATGTGGACCTTCCCTCCCCAGGGGTCACCTTTAGCAGCGGGAAGTTGGCCATTAGGCTGGGGTCAATCTCTTCAATATAGTAGATAAGTTCAACCAGGTGAATGTCAGCCCTGCTCAGCCTGTTGCCAACAAGGTAGTGTTGTCCATGGCTCTTCAACACCTGGTGAATTGGAAAGAGAAGATTATGAACACAGGTGCACTCAGGCTGGGTCCCCTGCTCCTGCCCAGATCTCTCCAGCCTGGCTTCCCACCTATGCTGCCTAACTGGGCACGTGAGGAGCATCAAACCACGTTCATTGCCCCTGACTCAGTGAAACAGAGAGAAGAGGGTCTCTGCTGTTCTCACCTCACTCCTTAGCTGATGCCCAGGCTACCATCTCTTTTTCCTTTTCCCATATCACTGGGCTCGCTCTGTGCATCTTGGTCTGGCCCAGGGCTAGCACTGGGTGTGTATCTGTTGGCCCCGTGCCCTACCCTTTGGAGCCCTGAACTTTAGCACATGGCTCTCTCTGTCTCTTTCTCTCTCTCTCTCTTTCCTTCTCTTTGTTTCCTCTCTCACTTGGGCAAAGATCCATCTCTAGAACATCCTTCTTCAATCCCAAGCAGACGATATCAGAGCCTACATTTCTCCTTTACTCATTTCTGTCTGCTCTACTCATTTCCTGATCTATCTCTTTGGAGCCTAATGCAAACCTGGGTCAACTTGAACTCACCATCTCTCTTGCAACATGGGCTCTGTCTCCTAGGTTGCACTATGTTATGATCTGCTGCTGAAATGTCTTAATGTGAACTGCAGTGATACCTGAAACACACTTTGCAATTTATCCAAAAACAATGTCTGATTGATAGAGAGAGGGACTGAGAGATAGAAACTCATGATAAAGCAAACATAATGAAAGATTAATGTTTGTATCCCCATGGTGGGTGCATATGTCTTTAATTATTCTGAATGTATGAAATTTTTCATAATAAAAGTTTTGGGGAAATGCATGATATTTATTAAAATACTAGAGGCCCGGTGCATGAAAATTCATGCACTGGAGGCGGGGGTTCCCTCAGCCCGGCCTGCTCACAGGCTAGGAGCCCTCAGGGGTGGGACGTGACCTGACCATCAGGGGAAGGTGACGCCCTCATCACATCTCTGCTGCTGCCACTGCCAGCAGCACAAGCTTTGACCAGTCCGGGTTACCTGGGCCTCAGGTGGCCCTGGGCGGCTGGGGGGCTGAGGGCGGGTCCAACCACACCATGCACCTGCCATGCACCTTCCCCAGCTGGACTGATAGGACTAGGGGACCCTGGCGGGGCTGAGGGGACTAGGCACCGCCATCTTGTGTCTATGGGCATCACCATCTTTGTGACGATGTGATGGTGAATTTGCATATTCTGTCTTTATTAGATAGGATTCCAGCAATCATAAAGTATAAAGAGAATAAACACACATAGCACCACCAACTAAACATAACACACTGGCAAATACACTTTCAGATCGTGTATGCATATAAAAGAATGGATAATTATTTGGTAAAGAATATGATAAGGTCAAAACCTATTTTGTGCCCTAGCTGGTTTGGCTTGGTGGATAGAGCATCGGCTTGCAGACTGAAGGGTCCCAGGTTTGATTCCAGTCAAGAGCACATGCCTGGATTGTGGGCTTGATCCCCAGTGGGAGGCGTGCAGGAGGCAACCAATCAATGATTTTCTCTCATCATTGATGTTTCTATCTCTCCCTCTTCCTTCCTCTCTGAAATCAATAACAATATATTTTTTTAAAAAACCCTATTTTTTAACATACATTTTTAACTGATGTTATCATGGAGCTCCTTGATTTCAAAGTATCAGTATACTCTAACTACAGTGCCTACTGACCTTGTCATTGAGTGAATGTCCCCTAAACTCTCAGCACCACAAGGCCCAGGAGGGTGATTATTAGATTACTATTAAATTTTCCGATCTTTGAATATGGACGAACACACAAGTAATGAATTAAAAGTTGTAGAATGAAAGAATGTTTCTTAAGTGCTTTTTAATGCTTTATAAAGATGAGAGTGTTAGTGTTAAGCCCCTTTTATACGTAAGCCTCCTGTAGGCTTACAATCATTATTTTGGTTCATAATTTTTATTTAGTTTGATTTCAGGAAACTTGGATCTTGAAATCTTTTTTTACTTTCAAAGGGAAAATTTATGGTCTGCACTACATACAAAATCATGGAACTTTATTTCCTTAGTTTGCATAGCTTTCCTCTAAAGTCTGATGATATATTTTGTAGATTGTTAGTTCCTTAACATCTTTTCATCTGTCTCATCCTCTCCATCCCACTGCCCCCATCTCTGTTTAGATACTTCTCATACATCCCAGAAACACTGTTGGGCAATTGGTCTCATGTTTCCTATGCATGTTGCCAGCATATTTTCTAATAAGTTGCTTTCTTCCTGCTTCTCTTGGATGAAAAGCCCCTTCATGGTGTTCTGCCAAATCTACTGCAACCGCTAGTTTGACTCCCAGAGCCTTCCACAGCCCACACTCTAAATGTGGCCATAAAATGCCATCAGATAGAGGATCTAAATCAGGTCCTAGTAAATTGAACTTTTAGCTCAGTCGGTGTTGCTCAGTGGTTGAGCACTGGCCTATGAAACAGGAAGTCATGGTTGGATTATGATCAGGGCACATGCCCCAGTTGCAGGCTCAATTCCCAGTGTGGGTTGTGCAGAGGCAGTCAATCAATGATCTTTTCTCATCATTGATGTTTCTATCTCTCTCTCCCTCTCCCTTCCACTCTGAAAGCAGTAAAAATATATTTGTTAAAAAAAGAGAAATTTTGCTGACAGATTATAACTTGGGTATAACTGGCACATATCCTCCCCACAGCTGATTTTGATAATAGGCTGGGAGAGTCAGGGTGCTCCATCAGTAGTTAGGAGGGCTCATTGGAAGTGAAGGTCGAAGACCAGGACTGCCCAGGTACCAGTTCTCTTTGTCCTCTAGTCTCAGTTCCCCAAACACTGAACAGCCCACTTACCTTTTCAAAGGCTGGGAGATAACGATTTGTTGTTCTCTCTCTGATCTGGGTCATCTTGGCATCTTTTTGATCAGGTGGGCATAGTGGCAAATGCAGGATCATTTCATTCAAATCTGCCATACCTTCTGAATACATATCAATCCTGAAAGACAACCAGTGCATATTCCAGGAGATATGTTTTTATTGTGCCTAACTGGTCTTCCTATAAGAGGTTTTCCTTTTTAAAAATGACCCAATTGTCAACTGTTATCTGCCTTACATGTTATAGTTTAAAAATGTAAAAGAATGGAGAAACAGGGGAGGGCAACTCCATTGGGTACATTTTTATATGCCAGTCATTCAGCTGTGATATTCACCAAATTTTAACATTTCATATCAAGGTGGATATCTACATCTAAAATTTTTGTTATGCCCATGACCAAATATACTGACAGAGAACATCAGTGAGGTGTCCAGAGTCACAGGCATGGAGAAACGGTGGAGTCATTGCAAGTACCCAGTGAGATGTTACCTAGGGTTTGC